TCCCTAGTTCAATCACTACTTGTTGTCTTGATGACTAAGCTGTCAAAATTTTCCTGCATGTTGCCCCTTTCTTGCTTTATGCATATTCTAAGCTGTTAATTTTTTCCTGAATTTTGCTTCTTTCTTGCTTCATGCAAATTGTTCTCTATTGTTAATTATTGTTTCTCTTGTGCACTTTTGTTAGGAGTTGGCTTATTTATTTATTTATTTATTTTTGCATTTGTCTGGAATTGTTTAGTTTGTTTACTCTACACCTATTTCAATGATTTAAAAATTTTAGGGGGTTTTGTGACAGACGTCCAAAGTTTAAGCAGGTTTTGTGAAATTCACCTATTTCCTATAATAACAACATAATAGTACAATTTTTTGTTTTGTACAATTGCAAGTGGTTTTCTCTGTCATTAGGTATGCACTTGTCTTGATTGCTATGTGCAACGTATGAGATCTCATTGGAAGATATATACCTCTAATAGAATGTCTTAAGGATAAAATCAAGGAAAGGCCTGATGGCTGTAATTCTTTCTCGTTTCTTACTAATTCTGGCATTCTACCTTACTGCAAAATATGGAGACCAAGGTTGGATGATACTGTTGACATCTTTCTTAAATGGTCACCTTACAGTCTGTGTTATGACTGAAGCACCCACATGTTACAAGGTCAGTGAACTAAATTCTAATAATGCATATCAATAGTTAGTTGAAAGTTGAAACTATGTTTATTGATTGTGACTATGAAGAGAAGTTCTGGTTTTTTGTTGTACAGGGACCTGAGCAGAATGCACTTGGAAATCTGCTTGTCACTTTTCTTCTTGCTGGTATATTCTCAGGAGTTGTACTTGACTGGCTGTGGCTCATTGATAAAGGCTGGTGATGATGATGTAGTGGCTTAAATATTTCAAATTTCTGAGCATTAAAAAAAGTATTTCTCATTTTTGTAGTTTAAAGGGTTATTTTCAGTAGCTCCTTTTACTTGTATTCAGGTGAGTAGTTCCTCAATTGAATATACACTGAAAGATGGTTCTTAATGGGATTGAACCATCATTCATACTTCTGTTTCACTTGTATTTTCTCATAAACTTTGAAATCATAGTTTGCAAATGGAGTTTGTTTAGAATATCTAAACTCTCATTTCCCCCTTGAATATCTAAACTCTCATTTTCTTTGGAATCAGGAATATGATATTGCCTTATTTTATGCATTTCACTCATAATTTGCAAATGGAGTTTGTTTAGCTTGTAGTTTGCACCCCATCTAATTTGGCATTATGGTTATTATCTAAGGGATGTTTTAGTTTGACATATGATAGAAACTCTTGCTATTATAAATCAGTCATCTTATTAATTACTTTAGTATGATTTCTATGTCTTGTTTCCTCTATTAGAAAGTTATAGTTTTGTTTTTAGTTGTATAAGTAATACTACCACTATTTGATAATGATTAGAATTCGTGTATTGCATGTATTGCATAGAATCACTTATTGTATTGTTTATTCATCTTGAGATTCAAATAGATGAATGTTACATTCTTTTGTATTTTGACCATTCTAATTGTTTGATAATAAATAGTGAGAAGATGTACCATAAGGTCCATAACAAAGCGCCTACCGTTCAGAGGTCTACTTCTGGTAAGTAGTGCATATTTCTCTTATAATTCGTGATTCATTCACTTGGTTGATTAGAATATGCAATCTTCATTTTACTGCTACAATATTTAAGTACCGTTAGTTTTTACTTATCTAACAAGTGTGTGTTAATTGGTACAAAACGTACTCGTATGCAAACTTCTAATCAAGCATGCCAAAATTCTGTAGCAAATGGACTGAATTCTAGTAGTACTGGTGTCATCACGAAATGAACTACTACTGGTAAGTGGAGTTGAATTGAGCTGAATTGAATTATTTTCCTCTAAAAGGTGTAGAGAAGTTGAATTGAATTTCATTTTCATCAATTGCAAATTAGAAGGGTATACCTAAACTACAAACTCGAATGACAGGGATTAGAGTTAGTGCTCATCTTCAACAACAAAGTGCTAATGATCAGCCAGTGGTAAACACAAAAAAAGAAAAGAATGAGACTCAGGAGCAAAGGAAAAATGGGCAAGTAACGTGTCAATGATGTATGCTTTTATAATATTTTAAGAATATATGTGAAATTGACATTACTGTTCTAAAGAGGATTATGTTGATTAGGTTGTAATTGAGAAGTTGCATATTTTTTTACTTATAGGATCAAATGATAAAGATGCGAGCAGATACCACTCAACCTGATGGAACTCGAACAATGACAGATGAGGAAATATGTGCAAAAGTTCTCAAAGTCAAATCAGGCTACATTAAGGGTTGTGGTTTTGGCCCTAGACCATCACTATTAAGGTTCTCTCCTTCTTCGATGAGTGAAATGTCTGAAAAGAATAAAGAGTTGCAAGAACGGCTTCAAGAAACCCAACAACTTGTAGGAACTCAACAATAAAATATCGATGCGCGAGGTAATCCAAAGATTGGAGGAGCAAGCCAAAAAGTTTAAGGAGTTTATGGCTAATTTTTCCAGGCAACATCCATCAGCTTAGTATTCTTAGTGAACTTAAACTTGGAGAAATATTTCTTTGATCGTGTTGTATTTGTTATTGCTTTAGACTAGCATTGTTACTTATGGTAGAAACTTGTTTGCTTTATTTATTTTAATTGTTTTGATGTATTGCGGTGACAATTGATGACAATTATTTATATTTTGAGCTTTTTTCTTGTAATAGCATTATTATTGATGAAATAAAATTTCCTCATTATAAGTTTTCTCGCTATATATTTAGGTCGACGGGAGTAAATTTCCTCGAAATAGACAATACAACTTAAGGTGACGAAAATATGTTTCCTCGCAATAGGTTTCGTATTTACGTCGTCAAAAGTATATATCCTCATTATAGAGTATATAACTTACGTCGTCAAAAACATATTTCCTCGCTATAGCGATATAACCTACAATGACGAAAGTAAGATTCCTCGATATAGACCATATAACCTATATCGACAAATGTAAATTTCCTCGTAATTGAATTTCTTTGGCGAGGAATATGTGGTACAACCTACAACGACAAATTTAAATTTTCTCGTCATTGAGTCCCTTTACCGAGGAATTGTTTTCACGATAAAAAGATACATATAATGAAGAAAATCAATTTCCTCGTTAATGATTTACCTTTGGCGAGGAACAATTTCCTCGCTAAAAGGTACTTACAACGACGAAAATAGTTTTTTTAGAACTTTTATTATATATAAATTAAATATTATTCACGTATTATTGGCGAGGAAACTGTAGTTTAGCGATGAAAAGGCATGAGATTAGGTGAGGAAAAATATCGAGGCTAAAGAGTAACAACGAGAAAAGAATATATTCATCGCAAAAAGGATTTCGTGAGAAATTATGATATTCCTCACAGAAACTTTTCTTGACCACCCTACCGCGAGGAAATGGTGACCAAAGTTTTTTCCTCGCCAACACACTACGGCAAGGAAATCTTGACTTTCAACGACAAACTTGTTCTTCGCGGATTAGCTTTTCTGTTGTAGTGTATATAAGTATATATAAGAATACTCTCTCTTATATATGTATAATGTATGCATGTATGTATATATATACTCTCTCTTAGTATATATGTATATATAAGTATACTCTCTCTTATATATGTATACTCTCTCTTATATAATATATTTCTATATATGTATAATATGTCATATGTGTATGTATATATATACTCTCTCTTAGTATATAAGTATATATAAGTATACTCTCTCTTATATAAGTATATATATGTATAAGTATATATAATATGTGTGTGTGTATACTCTCTCTCTTAGTATATATGTATATATAAGTATACTCTCTCTTATATATGTATACTCCCTATTATATAAGTATACTCTTTTATATATGTGTGTGTGTATACTCTCTCTCTTAGTATATAAGTATAGTATATTACAACGGTTACTTCCCCATTGGCCCAACGAGCAACGGCTACAGGGTTACTTATGCGATTCTCTCTCTCTCTTAAATTATAACTTATAAATATATACAATATATTTACATATAATATATGTATATATAATATATAGTTACATAATAATTTAGAAGTATATACTAATACATAATTATATAAAATATAATAATATTAAACTAATTTTTAGCATTTTTTATCAAAAAAAAAAAGAAATTTAAAAAAACCTAGGTGGGATGTACTTATCTATTGTGATGCGATAAATTCCAAAATAAATTTATACTTGTAATTTGTAAATGTTTTATTAATTATTAATAAAGAATTTATTTTTATATTTTTTTATTTGTAATTTATGTCAATTTAAGTGATTAATAAAATTATTATTTTATTATTTTTTTTTATCTTTTTTTATAATTTAAAACTTAAATAAAATTTAAAAATTTGAAAAAAAAAATTAAAAAAAAGAAAAAACCCGGGCCGGCCCGGAACCCGGCCCGGTCGGGCCCGGGCCCGGACCCGGGCCCGGGTACCCAGGTCCGGGTCCGGGCTCCGGTTTTGCCCGGCCCGGGCCCGGATTTCCGGGCCGGGCCGGGCCGGGCCGGATGGACAGGCCTAATTTCAACTTCCTGAACATATAGAAATTAGATTTTGTATTTTCAAGTTAATATTCATGATTGCATGTCTAGGAACAAAGATAAAGTTTAAATAAGTTTTTAGAAGATTTCTTTTGGCCTTTGTAAATAGGTTATCCTAAAAACTATGATATTTCTCTCTCACATGTGATCTGTAGCATTTACATGTGACATTTAGATGTGACATTTTGATGTTGTTTGTCACATTTACGAATTACTTGTTACTTTTATTTTTTATATGTGACTTATATGTCTCATACGTTATATTCAACGTGTAGCCTTTCTACTCTAAACTCAGAGTCATTGAAAACTATCAAACAATTAGAGAGGATTTTGAAAGGCAAAACTCAAGAAGAGCATGTGTGGACGATGGATGACATAGTAAGTGACTCAACAAGGATCCCCGCTTGGTAGCATGAGGCAATTACCGCAAAAGAGCAATAATTTGAAAATACAATAGAAGTTATAATGACTCTTATATACTACTCTATCGCTAATAAGTTCTCTTTTAAATACGTTAATAATAAGAAAAATCATATTTATGCTCATTGCATGTTTACGAAAGTGACAAATTGCTCGTGGGTACTTCACGCTTCACCATTGAGCCATGTGTCGACTTTTACTAGAAAAACATATATTCCTCATCATACTTGTAGACAACATAATCATACTACTAGTCACTCTAGAGCATCGAGGAAGTGAATTGCATGATACAATCAATCTGAGAATGGACGACTAATCTGAGAGTAGACGTTCAATGAAATGCTTAAGGTATCACGCAGAAGGACATAACCAAGCCACATGTACTGAGCCTATCTAAGATTAAAGTTTCCTAGAAGATTTGGAACTCTTTTGGGAATTATGGCTATTATATGTTGCTTTTGCCTTTTTTGTGACACTTATCAATTAAATATTACGATTTAGATGTTTGTGTGGCTTATTGGTATTAACTATTATATTTGTGAACTTTACAGTTTAGGATTCTATACGTGACTCTTAAAATTTTCATGATTTGTCTAAGTTTACAGTGACATATAACAATAAGACAACTAGAAGATAATAATAAGATAACTGCTAACATTTTGAAGTTGAAATAAAGTTATTAAAAATGCACATTTATCCATTGTCACCATAAGTCTCAAAAATTACAAAAAGAAATATTAATTTTGGATTCTTAATAACTTCATTATATTATCCCTACATAAATGCATATGTTGTCTAATACTTACACTCAATCACTAGCACCTCATTGCCCCCAAAATATAAAAGATATTTCAGGTCATCCTCATCTAAGTTTTTTTCTTCTTCTTCGATTCTCTACCTTTGCATATAAGTTGAGCATCAAGTTCACCCTTAAAATGTCATACTCCTTTTTGACATGCTCCGAGATCCATTACCTCCTTTTTTTTTCTAGAATTACCTTTATGTACAAATAAGCACGTATGCCATTATCGTGCTTGACAAGCAAAGAGGTACACTAAATGTCACACACAACTAACAGAAGTCTCAAGAAAATACTAAATGCCAAAAAACACATAATACTTTGCCCATATTAAGCTGGTAAGTTGAAGTGAAGAATCTCATACTAAATGTTGAACAAAACCATATAGTCTTCCACCACATTGCTTATGAAAAATCTCATATCTATTTATATTGTGGTTGTGGATAGCATAAACAATTATCTTTCTAAATAATTTGCACAAATATCACAACCAACGGGTAAGTGTCACAAAAAATATGTAAAAGTCAAATAAAATGACTAGACATCACAGTTCATGAATAAGTCCAATGGGTAAGTTTCACAAGAAATATGTAAAAGTCACATAAAATGACTAGATATCACAATTAATGAATAAGTAGTGTTGCATGAAATAAGTAAAAGTCATAGAAAATGACTAAATATCACATGTACAATTAATGAATAAGTATTACAATATATTAAAACATATCACACATATTGAATAACTATCATGCAAAATGTAGATATCTCACATGAAATGCGTAAATAATCAATTTGATACTTACGCGTCCACTATTTCTTACATAAAATGACTATAACCCCGTATGTTTGTAGATATTCTTATATCTTTTAATAAATTATTATCGTCTTTTCTGGCAAAACACAAAAATAACATATATGTCATCAATGACTTGTGTATTATTTGCAAGTCCAAAGGTTGGGCAAAGTTAGAATATTACTATTTCGAGTTGAAACTAGTTCTCAAATTATTAGGTTCAATAAAAACTTAAGCAATGCCATGAGAAATGCAATTGTGAATATTAACTCGAGAATACAAAATCTAATTCTTATTATGTTCAGAAAGTTGAAAATAATATACCACAAAGTTTGAATAAGTTGGATATGAATTATGAGTTCGGTAAGCAATTAAAGAGATATGCGAGTAATGAGTCTTATATTCTTTTTTTAGGCAACCCATTTCTCATCTCTTAGATCATAACTTTTTTGTGCTTCTTCTCAATTATCTTCTCTTGAAAAGAGAAGTAATAAGGGCCATGATGAAGTAAAAAAAAATTTACGTATGTATCTTAAAAAAAACTTAGGACAAGAATTGTACAGAGCCTATCTTCATTGTCGCAGACTCTAAATCAGTCTTGTCCATCACTCATTTTGTCACACCCCGCTTCTCAAAATACCCGGGAACCGGAACGTGAACAAGCCCGTGACGTATTGGATTGAGAAGAAATATACACTATTATTTTTTTTCTTTTTCTTCTCAATCCAATACGCTAAGCGTCTGGAAATAAATATAATGCGAAGTCACAGATCCCCGATCACATATAGCAAGAATATAATGAACAACACGGAATAAGATAATACATATCACAAATGGAATAACATCCGAGACATAATAATACAGTTCAAACGTACCCTTATACAAAACTATCTAAATGAAGTACTGAAGAATATAAAATACACTAATCAAATGGAAATGGAAGGTAGCACAAAAGAAAAATGAGGACCAATAACTAAGCTTCGGCTTCTTCTACTCCGTCTGCAGGGCACTCCTACTGAGAATATCCTGGCTCTGGCGTATCTCCAAGCTGGACCTGTT